CAGCCCATGTATTTATTCTTTGAAACGAAGAGTTCAAGAATTATCATCAGCTTAAAAGCTGAAATTTAAAATGCAGAATTAAACTCACCTCTCCGGGACCACAAATAGTTAAATCATTTGCAGAAAGAATGCTGCTGGAGGTATCACACGACACTTAGCTTCAAATTATACAACAGAGCCATAGTGACAAAGGTAGCATGGCCTTGACACAAAAACAGACATGTGGATCAACATAATGGAACAGAGGACCCAACAATAAACCCACACAGTTATGGCCACCTAACTTTTTATTTATTTATTTATTTATTTTTCAGAGCTGAGGACCGAACCCAGGGCCTTGCGCTTGCTAGGCAAGTGCTCTACCACTGAGCTAAATCCCCAACCCCTAACTTTTTTTTTTTTTAAACAAAGATATAAAAAATACACCGGAAAAAATGGTCTGTTCAACAGATGGTGCTGAAAAAGCTGGATTTCCATCTGTAGAAGAATGAAATGAGATCCACAATTCTAATCTTGCACAAAAATCAATTCAAAGTGGATCAAAAGGCCTTAATGTAAAGCCTGAAACACTGAAGCTGCTGCAGAGAACAGCTGTATGAGGAACGAACTTCAGGACAAAGGCAAGAACTTTCTGAACAGGACTCTAATGGCGGAAATCACCAGCAGAGTGAACAGACGGCCGGCAGAACAGGAGAAAACCCTTGCCAGCGACACCTCGGACTGGAGGCTAACATCCAGAATGGACAGACAACTGCAAAAATGACACTCCAAACCCTGTCAACCAACAAGGCGGGTTTCAAAAGAAGAAACAAGCGGTCAATGAATATTTTAAAAAGTGGGTAACAACCTTACCCACCAGGGAAATGCAAATGAAAACTGTGAGATTCTGTCTCATCCCAGTCAGGCTGACCTTCATCCAGAAGTCAACAGCAAAGAGAGATGAAAGGAATACTTCTAGCTGCCTCTGTCCTCACATCACCTCAAAAATGGCCCCGTGCATTCAAGAAATTTCTCAATAATTAGCACCGATCACCGTTTTAATAAGTTTCTTTTGCAAAAGCTTGGAAAACACCAGGGTTGAGACTCTCACAGTTATGGAGCAGAGAAGTTGTCTCTTTCAAGACAACCAGAAATTGTTGAGAGGGTCTTGGAAAGACCATGTTCTTTCTGGACAGGATGTGGGGGAAGAGGGGCCCTTATTCACTGTTTCTGGGAGTATATGCCAGTAAAGGCATTCTGGAAACCAGGGTGGAGTTTATGGAACTACTACATGACCCAGATAGAACCCTCCTGGGCATCTACACACAGAACACCTAAACTTCCATGCTCATTATTCACAATAGCAAGGAATGGAGCCAGCCGAGATGCCCATCATTAGATGAGTAGATAATGAAAACTTATTCAAGCACAATAGAATTTCATTCAGCAGTAAAGAAAACTGGACTCATGAAATCTGCAGGAGAATGCATAGAACCGGAACGTATTAAGTTAGATAACTCAGACTCAGAAAGAGAAAAATGACATGTTCTCTCTCACATTTGGATTCCAGATTATGGGATGTGTGTGTGTGTGTGTGTGTGTGTGTGTGTGTGTGTGTGTGTGTGTGTGTGTGTGTGTGTAACAGAAAGATCATGAGGGGAGGAAAAAGAGAGGGAGGTGGAGGAATAGGACACAGGGACACGGAAGCAGAAAGAAGGCTTTGGGTGGGGGTGAGAGGGCGAAGGGGGTGTCAGGGAGGTATCAGAGAAGAGGGGAAGAGAATCAAGAATGATTTCTTTTTTTTCTGAGACAGAGTCTCAGGACATAGTCCTAGCTGGCCTGGAACTTGCTATGTAGACCAGGTTAGCTTTGGACTCACAGGGGCCTTTTGAGTGCTGGGATTAAAGGTGTGCAACGCCATGCCCAGCATCCAAAAGCAAATGTTGAACAAAAAGGTCAGAATTAAGCCTACTATTACATGTGACAATTAAACATTAAAACAAAACTAATTCACCTTTCTGTACCAAGCTCATATTGTTGATAGAATAAACCAGTGGCCTATACGTGAAACAGAACATCTGGGTGTGCCTCCAGCTCTTGGTTGCTGGCTGTCCACATAAGCCCGTCCATACAATGTCCTCCTATGGGCCGGGGTTTGCTTGGCTATAAAACAAGTGGAACTCTGAGTCTCAGAAACTCATCTTAGATCATCTGGGTCTGAGGTAGGGCTAGGCTGGTCCCACCAGGATCCTACTGAATCAGAAGTTTGAGGGTGAGATCCTGGAATCTGTCTTTTAAAATGATGATTCTTATGCTTACTAAAGTTTCTTTTATAAACTTTTTGTGGCCATAAACATATTGGAAGGATTACAGTATCTCTAAGGTCCTGCCTTCCCCAAACAATTCTAAGAGTCAGTCCAATCAACACATTTCCACTCTACTCAGTACATGATTTTGGACTTTGGTACTCTCTCTGTAGAAACTGTTCCAGGCCAGAGTGCATGATGTACAAAGGTATCTCTGTTATTTGGAGAAAGACAATGTTTTTCAAGTATGTGGCCTCTCTCAAAGGTTAGTTACACATTTCCACATGACACAGCTACTGAACATGCAACTTTGGACTCTATTTTTCACTTTCTCAGGAACTATTTTAGGTCAGAGTATAACTCTGTGTCACACAGAAAGAAATCTCAGGGATACAGATAAAGTAGGACATTTTGGTTTTAAATTGTGTCTCATCTTAAGGCTAGTGAGAGCCTGAGGTCCACTGGCAAGTTAGGTAGGTTCAAGTCTGATTTGAACGTAGGACTTTTAGTATACTCTCCATGTAAACATGCCTGTGTGGCAGGCTACTGCTGTCTGCCTGAGGCAGGAAGTACTGGTTCAGCATCTCTCATTTGAAAACGGAAGTGCTCCAAAACTGTTTTCTGGAGTGTGGTCACAAACCCACAACACTGCAGCATGTAGCTTTGTTTCCTGCACAGCATTATTAAGTGTATTGTATAAAATTACCATCATGCTAAAGCAAAATGGTGTATACAAAACACAAGTAAACTCTTTGGATCTGGACTCCATCCTTAAGGTGGCCCATGAGATATATGCAAATATTCAAAAATCTGAAAAAAAATGTGAAATCTGGAACACTTCTGGTTCAGAGTATTTCAGGTCAGGGATAGCCAACCTATAAGTAGCTGTGTTTTTGACTCTATTACAAAACCAAACTCAATTAGTCATTTAAACTTCAGTCTCTTCAAATTCTAAGCTTGATGAAGTCCCATGAATGGAGTAGTTGAGTCTGAGCAGGAGATGTTGAAGTGCTCTAAGAAAGCTGGCAACACAACAGTCTTGCCGGAGCCTCCCAGTTATGGACCAGTGAAGTCTTTAGAGATTGTTGGGATGTAGTTTTTTTTTTTTTGTTTTTTGAGACAGGGTTTCTCTGTGTAGCTTTGGAGGCTGTCCTGGAACTCACTCTTTAGCTCAGGCTGGCCTCAAACTCAAAGAGATCCACCTGCCTCTGCCTCCCGAGTGCTGGGATTAAAGGCGTGCCACCACTGCCCGGCGTGTTGGGATGTATCTTAAAATGACCAGGCTCTTCCCATAATTTGGTGCCTTTAACATCATCTCTCTGCTTTTGAAATTTTTGTATGAAACCTCTACTTTTTATATTACACACTCTACGTCACATGTGACAGGCTTAAAAACTTCCTGGTTTCTTAGGAGTAAATGGACATTTTGACTCTTGGGGGGCACTAGGCAAACAGCTTAGTTGGCCTCAGTTTCCCGAGCTATGAAGTGAAGGGCAGAGCGGACAGATTCTTGACTCTTTGGAGAGGATGGCATTATATAAGAAAGAACATGGGCTTTGAAGGTGGACTTAGGCTAGAAATTTTGCCTCCACTTCCTCAGTCATACAATGGAGGCATGAGTTTTAATTTCCCAGAGTATTAGAACCATCCATTGCAGCGTTTGGCACAGATAGGCATCCCAAAGAGTTGGGACTTCCACATCCCTTCATCTTCTGTATTGCCACTAACGTCTTTTTAGCCTAGCCCAGGTTAGGCCTGTCCTTACTGAGAGAAGCACCAACTGGCACCAGCTCAGAGACACAAGGGTGGAGTTCAGAGACTAACTGTTGGGAGTCGTAACTCATCAGCTCTGTGGGTAGAGAGCAGGTTCTGTTTCTTTCTGGCCTGGGTATCACTTCTGTGTGAAGTTTTCATTTAGGTCGAAGGCAGCCACCCAAATGAAGGAGTCACCATTTTACAGACGCAGCCGGGCTCCACCAGAGCACAGCCACAGACCTCTAGTCTTCTCGCTGAGCATCAGGTAGAGTCAGCCTCACTATAGTGAGAGGCCAAGTGTGCTAACAACACTTAAGATCTTGAAGTAGCCTTGAAGACAGCTTCAAGACAGAGACGAAAGGAAAGGATGGAGCTGGGAAATGGCTTTCCCGTGATCGAAAGTCTACCAAGGACTAGAGGCAGGATCCACCCAAGTTCTCACTCAAGCCCCTCTGAATTTTAATGAAAATGTTTTAAGTACTGATTAGGGGAATGAATGAGATCCCTCTGGTTAACCCCTGACACTGTGGGCATGAAGCTTTGAATCTCTGGGTGGAACTGGTCTCATCTATATGTCCCATAATAACTTCCATGTGTTGTGAGGATTAAAAGCAACAGTGTGCATATATAGTGGTCCCCTGGGAAAATTTTGGGGTGGGGGAACTGCCTCGTGAGGAACACGGACGCACATTTCTTCTTGTCGTCTCTAAACAACACAGTGTAGTGCTCAACATTGTGTTAGGTATTTTAAGTAAACTGGTCCCCACACTGGAGGACCGAAGTGCTTCAGCACAGTGCCTCGATAGATAGGCCACTTCACCTCTGGCGACTCTAAACATTATTAATGAGCGTCGTACATCTCGAATTGACCTCTTTTTCCCGCCTCCCTTGCCTCCCACCACACTGCAGCCCCCGCATCCAAGGCGCCGCGTTCCCCCAGGGCGGCGGTTTGCAGCTCACCTGGGGAGGCCAGCAGCACCTTCGCCCCGCAGCACTGGAAGCAGTGCAGCAGAGACTTGGCACGGATGTTGTAGTTGAGGCAGGCCATGGGACAGCCCAGCTTGAGCAGTCCCAGCCAGATCCACACGTAGGCCGGCTCATTGCTCATGAAGAGGGCCACGCAATCCCCCTGTCGCAGGCCCAGTTGGTCGTGCAGCGCCCGTGCCACTTGGTTGCTGCGCCGGTCCACCTGGGCGTAGGTGAGCGTCTCGTCGCGGAAGAGCAGGAAGGGCTTGTGCGGGGTCTGGCGAACTCGCTCCAGGAAGACCCGCAGGATGGTGCGCACGGGCCGCCGCTGCCGGTAGCTGCGCACCCGCCGGGCCAGGTTGGCCACCCGCAGGAAGTACCGCAAGTCCTGGATGAGGTAGGGGCAGCAGCAGGTGAGCAGCAGGGGCAGCAGCAGCAGCCCCGCCAGGACGGTGTAGAGCACCGGCAGCATGGCGGCGGCTGCGGGGTCCCCGGTCCCCAGCGGGGCCGAGGGAGCGCTCGAGGCGTGCAGCGCGGCGGCGGGCGGGCGGCGATGAGCGGAGCAAGAGCCGGCAACCGGGCTGGGCGGCCGGACGCGCAGCGACTGCAGGTAGCCGCTGGGCTGCAGGTGCCCGAGGCGTGCGCCGCGCTGCGGTCTGGACGGAGATGGGTCCCGCCCCCTCGTGGGGGCGCCTCGTGCGCTCACGGGTCCGCCCCTGCCAGCCTGGGTGGCCCAGGACTCCGGCAGCACTTGGATTCAGCGCCCAGGGTCAGGTGAGATCCAGTTCTCCGCGCAAACGATGCTAGGCGCAAAGAGCCCGCGTTGAAAAGATGGGGGGCGGCGACTCAGACGTGGAGCTGTTGCTAGTTACCCTTATCACCGAGCGCCTTTGTTTAATCAAGGACCTTATAAACGCACCGCGACCTTATTATTAACAGCGGGCACCAGGTGCCACCGCCAGCCCAGAGTCCCACCTCCCCTCCTTAGTCCCAAGGGCTTTCCGCCATCTCTCTTTGTTTCTCACGTTGGCTTCTCTGCCCCGGCAGTCTCCTGTGGCGAAGGTTTCAAGGTTGAACAAAAGCACCAGAGATGGTCACATCCAGCTGTTTCCAGCCCCTGCCACCGCTGCTGCCTCGGCCAGCCCCTTTAGACATTGCGAGCCTAGCTTGAGGCTGGAAGTCAAGCCGTGGAAAGTGATCCGCTTTCCAGCATTCACAGTATTGTGGATCCAGTTCAACATACAGTTACCAAGAAAGCACACAGAGCAAACTAAGGAAATAATGGCAGTTCTCACAAGTCATTGCTTTAAGAAGTGTGATCTTTGTATTAATGACTCTTGGTACTGGGACTGTACAAAGCCTAGCATGTTTGCTGCCAAGTAGGACCAGGACCCAAGTAAAGAGGAGCTTCCTTGTCATGCTTTCTTGTCCTGTGCTCACCTGTCTTGCTGGTGCAAGACCACCACAGTTTTGGAACTTCAAAGTTAGTCTCAGATGATGCTTGCATGCTCACTCACTGACGAGAAGGGGAAGTTTAGAGAGATGGGGATTCTTGGTCATGCCAGGATCACAGAACAAACTCACAGCAGCCCTGGTTTCCTGCCCAAACTCTGGAGGGGCTCCGCAGCCCCCACCCCTAGCTGAGGAGCTGCTGACAACTGATGGCTGGTAGAGGAGGGAGAGCCAGTTTTCCTTGGCTGTGTGGTCGCTAGTAGGTCGACCTGCTCCTACCTAATCCAGGATTTGCTGTGTACACACACACACACACACACACACACACACACACACACACACACACACACACGTAGTACAAATTGGACTGGGGAATACTGAAGAAAGAAGGGGGCATCAAGGTGAGGGGGTGGGTGGGGATTGGATCTGGGAGGGGTGAATATGATCAAAATACGTGGTATGTGAGTATGAAGTTATCAATGCATAATAAAAGCATTATGTTATAAAAATACCTAGTAATGCACGAGATTTGAAACAGGAACGTGTTTGGTTCCAGGTCATCAGCAGCTCTCTCAGCATTGTGAGCCACAGTGTCATTTTGTCCTCTTATCCTCTAGGTTTCCATCTTCTTTTTATTTCACTACTGAAAAAAAAAAAGTCTTCCATAGCCTTCTGACCCCTTTTACATTCTTGGGACCAGCTCAACCAACCCTTTCCGGGGTCCTGACTGTCTCCCCACGGCTGGTCCAGCTATCGTGCAGTGAATGGTTACACCAGTTCCCTGAGGAGCTGAGGGCCTTCATCATCCCTGAGGAGGAAGCCTGTGGCAGGACCATTCTGCTGTGCACTTTTTTTTTTTTTCCTGTGAAGCTCAGGGTCAGCTCTTCTTTTCCATCCCCTCTCTTTAAAAAAGTTACTGTGTGTGTGTGTGTGTGTGTGTGTGTGTGTGTGTGTGTGCGCGCGCGCGCGCGCGCGCGCGTGGTGGTCACAGGACTACTTTTGTAGAGTTGGTTTTTCTCTTCCACCTTTCTGTAGGTTCGGGGATCCAGCTGAGGTCACCAAGTTGTCACAGCAAGCATCTTTACCTGCTGAGCCATCCTGCAAGCCCTGCCACCCTGCTGCAGTGAAGTCTTCTGACCACACTTCCCTTCCTTGAACTCTCTACCCAGAAAGCTGGAGTGTCACAGGTGCCCTCCCCTCCCCCTCCCCCCCCCCCATGTCACCTTTGCACTGGGACAGTCTTTCCGTGGCGAGTGAAAGCAAACAAGGCCCGAGTAGCTTAATTAGAAACAGGAATTAGACAGGAACTGGGAAATCCAGCAATTACGTAGGCTTCAAGTGGCTTAAGCTTCTGAATCTGAGTTTATTTCCCCTTTGCCTAGTTCTTCTGTTTACCGCCTCTGTTCAGATCCAGGCTGTCCCTCATGACTGCAGGATGGGTGTCTGAACCCATGGGGTATGTGTTTCCTGGATCAATGTCAGAGAAGTACGATCATCTTTTTTTTCTTAGAAGTCTGCCTTTAAAAATTTAGTGATTAGCTTATATGCTTATCCCAGATCTAGTCCTCTGCGGGGACTGGAGAAGAAAATTGCTGGTTGGTTTAGCCCAACCAAGACTCACCCACAGAGCTGGGTGTATCTCAGGTCTATCTAGAGCAGTAGCTCTCAACCTTCCTGATGCTGCGACCCTTTAATACAGCTCCCCATGGTGTAGTGACCCCCAACCATAAAATGATTTTTGTTGCTGCTTCATAACTGTAATTTTGCTACTGGTATGAATCGTAATATAAATATCTGATCTGCGACTCTCAAAGGGTCATGACCCACAGGCTGAGAAACTGCTGGTCTAGACATTTGTGGGAAACATCAGGGTACTATGAAAAAAGGAGACAGAGCTGGAGGTGTGGCTCAGGGGGTGAAAGCATGTGCAAACCTGAGTTTGATTCCCAGCACTCAAGGCAGGAAGTTCGTAGCTGCCTGTGACTCTGTTGCCACGGGGATCTGATGCCTCTGGTTTCTCAGGGCACCTGCACTCACAGGCAAGGACACAGACCCAGGTACATGCACACACACAGACATACACACATAATTAAACTAAATCTGTGTGGGGGAGACAAAGGGAACCTTTTTTTTTTCCCAAAGGAGAATTGAGGAGGAACTTAACAATACACACTACAGAAAAGACAACATCTTCAACAAATATTGCTGATAAAACTGGATAGCTGGATGTAGAATAATGAAACCAGGTCCGTGTCTCCTCTCATTTTACATAAAACTCAACTCCAAATGGACCTCAAGATAAGACATGATACTCTGAATCGGACTGAGGAGAGAGTATGGAATATGCTTCAACTTGCAAAGACCCACAAAAGCACTTTTTGAACAGGACCCCAGTAGTATGGGCTTTAAGACCAACAATTGATAAATGGGATCACATGAAACTAAACTCTTCTGTATAGAAAAGGACACCATCATTCAAAGGGACACTCAGCCAAAAGAACGGGAAAATGTCAGTATCAGCTTGTACATCCAACACAGGGTTAGTATCTCTATGTATGAGGAGCTAAAAAAAATCAAGAAAACAAACACCCCAATTTAAAAATGGGCAAAGAACTAAACAGTTCTCAAAAGATGAAATACAAGCAGCTGAGAAACATTTTAAAGAATGTTCAGCATCCTTAGCTGTCAGAGAAATAAATGCAAATTAAAACTACTTTGAAATTTCTTCTTACCCCTGTCAGAATGGCTAACATCAAAGCAAAAATAACGGAAAAGGCTGGGACGCAGGCGGGGAAAGCAGAATACTTATTCATTCTGGTGGGAGTGCAGGTAGGTGCAGCCACTATGGGAAAGAGTGTGGCTGTTTCCTTAAAAAGCTAGAAATGAATCGACCGTATGACCCAGCTATGCAGCCACTCTTGGGCATACACCCAAAGGACTGTATGTCCTACTACAGAAACACTTGCTCATCAGTGTTCTCTGGAACCTGTGGCTAGATGGTCAGAGTGTCAAGAAGAGAACCTCCTGCCGTGACTTTGCTAACTAGACATAGTGTTATACTGGCTTCTAGTGACTTATTGTTATACTGATAAATGAGTATGTCTCTCAGCCTGCATCAGAGAAACTCCTGTCTTCAGTAGACGGTGATTGACATAGAGACCCAAAACTGCTCAAAGTGGAGGGAACAAGAATCTTTGGGGTTCTCAGCCCTGTGGGGCTGGGGGGACACAGTCAATATCACACTTCCTCTTCCCAAGGCTCAGGAATCTTTGTAGAAGAGGGGGTGCTGGTGGATAGATTGTAAATAAACAGTGTTTTCTGTACACAACAGGGCAGTTGTACAAATGAATTCCCAGTAGTTGAGACATCAGGCACAAAAATTGTGCAAGCTCAAGTCACACAAAATCCCAGCATGGTGAGGGGAAGGTGGGCATGAAGCCCCACCCCGACTAGCTAAGGAGCTGATTGTAACTAATACCTGCTGGGAGAGCGAGCGTCCGTTTTCTTTAAGGGTGTGATCCTTTGTGGGTTGACCACACTCCCGTGAAAGGCCACACATCCAAGAGTGTCTGAACAGCATAGATGAGTCTTAATGGGTTTAAAAATGACAGAGAGCACAAAGGTGAGAGGATAAGGAAGGGGGAATGGATCTGGGAAGAGTGTGAGGTGGGGAGGGGTGAATATGATAAGAACACATGGGACAGAATTCTCAAAGAACTAAGCCAAATAAGAAAAAGGCTCTCCCCTGGGATAGGAAAGGAAGGAATGCCACCAAAGGTTTTACAGAGCTAGTCCTATTCTTTTACCAAAACCAGACAAAGATGCAGGAAAAAAGAAATTATAGACCAATCTCCCTGATAAACACAGATGCAAAAATTCTCAACAAAATACTTGCCAATTAAATTCAAGAACACACCAAAAAGATTATATACTATGATCAAATTGGCTTTATTCCAGAGATGGAGGGATGGTTCAGTATATGTAAGTCAACAAATATTATCTATTATGTAAATGGTCTCAAGAACAAAAATTATATGATCATCTCTATAGATGCAGAAAAAGTTTTTGATAAAATCCAATCTCCTTTCATGTTAAAAATTCTGAATAAACCTGGACTAAACAACACATATCTCAACATAATAAAGGCTTTATATGACAAACCAATAGTCAACATTAGATTAAATGAAAACATCAAAGAATTGCCACTAAAATCAGGAACAAGATAAGGGTGTCTACTTTCTCCCCTCTTATTCAATATAGTATTTGAAGTCTTAGCTAAAGCAATAAGAAAAGAGAAACAAATAGGAAAGGAATCAAAATCTATACATAAGAGACCTTAAAAAGTTCTAGAAAACTCTTGGAACTAATAAACATTTTCAGTAAAGGGGTAGAATACACAATTAACTTACAAGGATCAATAGGCATTTTATACATCAGTGATAAACATACTGAGAAAGAAGTCAGAAAAATAACTCACAATGGTCTTTAAAGAAAATGACCCAAGCCGGGCGGTGGTGGCGCACGCCTTTAATCCCAGCACTCGGGAGGCAGAGGCAGGCGGATCTCTGTGAGTTCGAGGTCAGCCTGGGCTACCAAGTGAGTTCCAGGAAAGGCGCAAAGCTACACAGAGAAACCCTGTCTCGGAAAAAAAAAAAAAAAAAACAAAAACAAAAAAAAAAAAGAAAATGACCCAAAACAAAACCACAACAAAGCAAATAACAAAAAACCAAGGCAAAACAAACAAACAAAACCCAAACCCAAACACCCTCAAATAACCTCAACGAAGGCCATGAAAAGTTCTTACGAGAACTTCAAGACACCGAAGTAAGAAATTGCAGCAGACAGCGAATGTGCTTGTGAACTGAAAGAATTAATAATTGTGGCCATCCTGCCAAAAGCAATCTTCAATGTAATTCCTGTCAAAATTCCAGTGACATTCTTCACAAAATTGAATAAAGAATCTTTTTCAAACAAGCCATCTTAAAATTAATATGTTGGATACATTTTAGGTAATCAAGGTTATAAGGCTCCAGGAGGCTTTTTCAAACAACCTTCATGCTCTTTGTCCCTCCTCCCCCGCTTTGGTGACCTCTGCCCCCATTCCTTAGTTAGAACTCGCTCCCTGTTTTTCCGCTAACCCCTTTGTATCATCTGTATTCTGCCATTCCCTTCTCACCCCCTCCCATGCTGTCCCTCTATAGCTTCCTGGTTTCTGTGGTTCTGTAGACTATATAGTCACAGCTGAGGATCTGGAGCTCGGGGCTGCAGACAAGCAAGAACATGCAATGTTTGTCTTTATGGGTCTGGGTTACCTTACTCGAAATAATTAATATTTTCTAAGTATGTCCATTTGCCTGCAAATTTCATTTTTCTTTAGAGCTGGATAATATTCCATTGTGTATATGAACATTTTCATTGTGTCTATTCATCTGTTGAAGAACAGTTAGGTTATTGCCATTTCTTAGCTATTGTGAATAGAGCAGCAATAAACATGACTAAGTAAGTATCTGTGGAGTAGGATGCTGAGTTTTGGGCATATGCTAAGGACTTAGTCAGCTGGATCATATGGTAGATTTATTTTTAGTTTTTTGAAGATTCTTCATACTGATTTTCACAATACATACAAACATATGCATATACATACATAAACATTTGTGTGTATGTATGTATATATGTATGTATCTCTTAAAGGAAGTTGTGCTACTTGGGCTGACAATCCTCCCCACAAGAACCATAGAATAACAAAAATCTCAGTACCAGGCATGAGAAACCTCCCTTGAATAGTTGGCCAGAGTCACGCAAAGGATTCCCCCAAGATGTAGACAATTGCTGTTGTCCTTGGTTGCTTCTCAGAGGTTGAAGGTGAGCCCCTAATGCTGAAGACACCTTAGGATGTGGGACTCAGATTATTGGAGCTGGATTTAACCTGAAAGACTTCTTTCTGTAGTCTGGCTTCCCTGGTATCAGCAAATACTATAAAGCTTCCAAGGGACTGAAGCAATTAATTGTCCTACTCAGCATTGGTGACACCTATAAACCACAATGGCCAGCATGACAAGATATCCATAAAGGTGTAATAAGTGGCGCTCACATGTTGGTGGTTGCTGAGCTCTGCTTGGTCTTGGAAGCTTAACCAGGGTGACGAGGGACAAAAGAAAGGACAGACACAAGTACAGGAAAGCTGGGG